GGGCAAGCTCCTAAGTCAGCGGATTCCCAGCTGTGTCCTCAGGGGCCCTCAGAGGCAGCTGGTGGCTCAGTTAAAAAGCATCAGAAACCCATGGGCCGGCCCGTGGCTCACTCGGGAGAGTGCGGTGCTGATAACACCAAGGCCACGGGTTCGGATCCCATATAGGGATGGCCGGTTCACTCATTTGGGAGAGCGTGATGCTGACAACACCAAGTCAAGGGTTAAGATCCCCTTACCGGTCACCTTTAAAAAAAAAAAGAAAGAAACCCGCTGGCTGGCAAGGAAGAGGCCACGCTGCGTTACCCGATTTGAGGTTAGTTAGCTCCGTGGTGAAGCGGTAGCTGGTGATTGTGAACTGTGCCAGCTGTAGCCTGTCTAGCCCATGGATCTGCTCCTGGTTTTCCGACCAATAGTAGACAATGTCCTCGGAAGAGTAGCCGTCTGTAGGAGAGCCCCAGGTGGGCAGCAGAGCCCGGCCTCAGCCCGCAGCCCCGAAAGAGCGGCAGTGACAGGGGCAGCTCTGGACCCCAGCCAGGAGCATCCCTTGTCTCTGGGACTGCACCTGGCACCTCCGGACAGGAGGGTGGGATGGAAGTGCTGGCAACAGTCCATAGCCCGGCCCCCCAGGCAGGGCGCTACCTGCGGGTCAAGCTGCTCCACAGCCCCTGCTCTCCCTGGCCAGACTTCCTGGTCATGGGGAAGCCCACCCCGGATGACACCCTGTCCCCTGAGCCAGGTCAGCCTGGTCCAGGACCTGGGCTGTGCAGGCCTATGATGGCCCTGCTAGAGAGGGGCCCCCACCCCATCCAGGCCCCACTCACAACTCTCCAGGTCCAGCATGCACTCCTGCTCGTCCATGGGGTACTTGGCCAGGTCCATGTCACAGGCCACCGTGGAGGTGATTCTGTCCAGACAAGCATGGCATGAGGCGAGCCCTCTCCAAGCTGGCAGTCCCTTGCCCCCAGCAGGTGGACACATCCTGGTGACAGCCCAGAAGAGCCACCTGCTCACCAGGGGCTGCCTGGGGCCCCAGCTGCCTCTCAGGCTTTGTTTGCAGGTTGGTTGGCATCTGGGTAAAAACTGAGAACTGTGGCCGACTTTGTAGATATTTGGGGGAACTGGGTTGCATTCACTCTCTTCTTCGTTCAAAATGCTTGGCTATCGGACTAAGCTGGGGGTCTCTAAGGCAGGGAGTAGCCTGAACAGCCCAGGCTCTCACCCGAGGGCCGGCTGATGGCTGCAGGGCGAACAGGCCCAGAGTGGCCAAGTGCTCTGATCTTCCAGGAGAGGCCAGACATCTGGATTCTTATGTAAACTCTCCTGATTTTTTAAATTTTGGCAACTAATTCCATTTTTAATAGTCATGTGTCTGAAAACAGCGGTCAAACAAATACATGGATGCACATGCTCACATTCGCCAAAAGGTGGGCACAACCTGAGTGTCCACCCACAGGAAACGAGCCGTGGTCCATCTGTACAAGGCACTGTTACTCGGCCTTGAAAAGAAGTGAGGCGCTGACACACTCTACAACGTGGGTGACCCTTGGAAACATGATGCTGAGTGCAAGAAGCCAGACCCAAAGGTCCATATTGCGTGTTTCTGTTTAAATGAGATGTCCAGAGCTGGTAGGTCCGTAGAGACAGAGCAGATCGGTGGGTTCCAGGGGCTTCGGGGAGGGGACTGAGAAGTGACTGCTTAATGCGAACGGTCTCCTTTTGGGGACTAAATGTCTTGGAACTACATGGAGGTGGGGTTTGCACAACGTGGTGAATGTGCTAAATGCCACCAAACTGGCTACTTTAAAATGGTTAATTTCACATTATGTGAATTTCATCTCAGTCAAAACCAAAAAGGCACCGTATTGGCCTAAAAGCCACATCTGCTGGCTCCCCAACGGTGGCCTCTGGAGTTGTTGAGCAGCCACCGGTTGCCGGGACATAACAACACCACGGTTTCTACGCGCCCCCACCCCAGCTCCCACAGACGCCTCTTGGGCTCTCTCCAGCCCTGGGTGCTCCGAGCACGATGCTGGGGCCTGTCCCCACTCACCGGATGCTGTACAGGATCACGCCATCGGGCTGCAGCCGGATGAGCTTGTTGTCCACAGTCACATCATGGAACCAGGCCGACTTGGCGTTCACGATGAAGGTGTCGGGGAGCCAAAGCTTGTCCACGAAGCGGCTGTCCAGACCCAGGGTCTCATTGGTGTGGTTGTAGGAGAGCCTGCTGTCCCTCCAGCTCTGGTGCAGAAACACGGTCATGGTGTACTCCTGTGGGGACGGGCGGGGCGGCAGTGCTGGTCAGCTCCCACGCCGCTCTGGGGCACCTGGCCCAGGGGCAGAGGCTGGGACACCTACCATGTTCACCTCCGAGATGTGGTCGATGCTGGCCACCTCGATGGCGAGTGCCACATTCACGGGGGCACCTGCAGGGCGGGACAGGCCCAAGGAGAGTGGGGCTGAGGCCAGGCCCCACCTGGCTCCAGCTAGCACCTGGGTGGCCTGCCAAGCCCAGGGATGCAGGATGGGGAGGGAATGGCTGCGGATTCTGCAGAGAGCTTGGTTCGGTGCCATCACGGCCTGAGAAGATCCACCTCCACCTGTCTCCCTGGGGTGAGGTGGGGTGGAGTGGGGTGGGGAGGAGGACCTGGCATCCAAAGTGTGATGGACTCCCCGGGGAAGAACCAGGCCTCTTCCGCCAGCCCCAAAGCCCAGCAGGGGACATGCCCACAGCTGACCCGGGGACCATTGGCCCTGCCTGCACTCACTGCTGCCCTCACCTCCAATGCCAGGTCGGAAGTTGCGGGCGTAGCCCTCCATCAAACCGTCCAGGTTGGGGAGCCAGGATATCTCCAGGTTGGAGCCCACGTAGTCCCCGATGTCATTCATTGCTCTGGGGACAGATAGGGCACCAAGGACTGAGCCTAGATCCCTTCGTGGAGACGGAGCTGTCCTGGGCACCCAGATCAGGGGCAGGTGGGGAGGACCACTGTGCAACCACTCCAGGCTGGTGCCTGTCCTGTCCTGCAGCTTGGGCCAGACACAGGGAAAGCCCCGGGAGGTCCTCGGCCTCTTGCACCTGCTGGGCTCCCTCCCCTCCCGCCTGGCTTCTGGGGAGGCTCCCTGGGTCAGGCAGAGTCCCCCAGCGTGGGCTGAGCCCCCAGGCTCCCTCAACAGCCTCCCGTGGCTTCCTCCTCAACCAACCCATGGGGGGCTGCCCCAGAGTCCCTGCCCCGGGCATCCCTCACTGAACAGGCCTCGGAGGACCCCGACAGGAACACGTGTCTCCCTGTCCACCTCTGAGGGGAAGCTGCCCCCAGAAGGTGGTTTGGGAGAGAAGTGTGGGGAAGAGGTGCTGCTGCTTTGTCCCCTCCCAGGAAGGCCCAGACCGGGCCCCAGGTGTCCCCAAGCATCCATGTGCTTCAGGAGCTTGGCCTGACACGGAGCAGCTGGGGCAGCTAATCCCACCACAGCCTGTGCTGGCTTCGCCACAGGGTGCCCCGCAAGAGACCCCAGACAGCAGCACAATGGCGGTATGTTGGGCCCCGCAGCCCAGCCCACCCTACCCTCCATCTGCTCGCCTGGACCGGGATGAACAGCACTCCCCAAATCCACGTCCACTGGGAACCTCAGAATGTGACCTTATTTGGAAATAGGGTCTTTGCAGATGTAATTAGTTAAGGGTGGATTAGGGTGGGCCCTAGATCCCATGACTGCGTCATCATAAGAACAAACAAGAGAGGCTCACGGGGAGGAGGCCATGTGAGACATAGGCAGAGATTGGAGTGACGCGGCCACAAGCCAAGGGACACCAGGAGCTTGAGAGAGGCACGGAGCAGACCCTCCCTCAGAGCCCCCAGGAGGAACCAGCCCTGCCCATAGCTTGACTTCAGACTTCTGGCCTCCGGAACTAAGGGAGAGCAAGCTGCTGTTGTTTTAACCCACCCAGTTTGTGGTACAGCGGCCCCAGGGAACTGTCCCCCCGTCCCCCTGCCCACAGGAGGAGGACAGTCCTCAGCGGTGGAGGGGCACTTCTCCTAAACCTGAGAGCAGGAAACGGAGGAGGAGGGGGGCTTGAGAATGACGCCCCTTTGCCACTCTTCAAATCCTTTCTCTTCCAAGGGGGCAGAGGAGCAGCTTCAGAGAAGACCTGGGGGTCACCCCGGGCCCCGAGTGAGGGGTCAGGATCCAAGTCAGACCCCCAGCCAGCCTATTGGTGGCCTCATGCCAATGCCCCATGCGGGGCCTGCCCTGCGTCAGCCCTGCTGCAGCCCCCACTGGGGCCGGCTGCGCCCACTCTCCCCAGGGCCACTGGTCCCCGCTCCTCTGGGCTTGCGGAGCCTCCTCCCAGCGCTCCTCCCGGCCCACCAGCTCCAGCTCCCGAGGCCCCCAGCTTCCCCAGGCCTAGGCGCCTGCACCCTCATTCCTCCGCCTGCGCCCTCCCCCCAGACGCCCACTTGGCCCTCCAGAGCCTCGGACCCTCATTCCCAAATCCTCTCTGTCCTGCCTTGAGACCCAGCCCAGCCTCGCTCAGGAAGTTGCTCCCAACCATCCATCCTCCCAGCGAGCGAGTCCGCGACCCCTTGGAGCCTGACCAGAGGACTGTGACTGAGCCATGAACACATGGCTACAGCCCAAGCCCATGCGGAGGCCCAAGTCTAGCAGGAGGGACAAAGCAAGTGGCTTCGGGTGTCACAGACGGGGAGGTCAGGAACCCCCCAACTGGGCTGTGTGAGGAGGGGGCGGCCTCCCTGAGAAAGCAGCCCTGGAGCCCAAAGGGGAAGAGCTTGAGTGTCGGGGGAGGTAGGAGGGGACAGTGAGCGTTCCTGTCATGGGCTGTGGCAGTGCGGGCTCAGTGGGGACTGCAGGTGTTGGGGGTGACTGCAGAGGGCCCTGTGCGCAGGGATGGGTCCAAGATCTCCATCTGGGTCCACACCAGGGCTCCAAACGAGAAGCCAAGTGATTAGACTCACGTTTGAAACACGCAACTCTGGTGAAACAGCGGGAGGCAGTGG